AGTAGTGCCCCAGAGCACTTCCTCGGATTTCCAGGGCTGAGGATTTAGATGGCTGCTGCTAGAAAAGGGTGGATGAGTCAAAGGGAACACATCATTGGGAGAGTCATCCAGGTCTTGGAAGGAGAGGTCTTTCTGAGAACACATTGATTAGGGAGTCAGGTGACATATTCAGGTCTGTAATGGCAACAGGGCATTTCATCTGCAAGTGGAAACAGGTAAAGCCAAGCTTTCCTGAGACTCAATACTCTGTATAGACAAGAAACTTGAACTCTTACAGGCAAGCTTAAGAGAAAAGACTTAATTGATCACTTTTATGGGACCAGCGTTTATTTAAATTTGTCATAGTCCTGTGGAAACCCTAGGATGGTTTGGAAGAAGCTTGGCCGTGAAATAAAATGTTGAAAAATACCCAAACTTTGTTATTTCTAATATTTATATTTGGCAGCTCATTTTGACAAGCTCACAAGAAGCTTAGATTATCCATTGGATAATAAATAAGAAAAGTAGGTCTTCATTTCTAGAGTTCCTAATGACTTAACACCAATTTATAGTAAGAATTTTTCATTCATTTCGAATAAGATTTATTAAACAGCCTATGTTCTCTGAAGCTCTGTTGGTATTCTCAACAGCTCCAAGCTGGAACATTCTATAACTCTGCTGTAGATCAGTGCTCTCCAATAGAAATATAATGCAAGCCACGTATGTCATTTAAATTTTATAGTCATCACATTGAAAAAGAGTAAAAAGAAACATGGGGCATTAATTTTACTAATATACTTAATTTGACCCCAAATATCAAAATTACCATGTAATTGATATAAATTATATCAACATGTAATTTATATAAAAATATTCTTCCTTTTATTTCTTTTTTTTTTTTTTACTAAAAGTCTCCAAAATCTAGTGTTTATTTTACACTTGCAGCAAATGACAACTGCTGGATTTTTATTGGTTAAAGTAAAATGTAGTCTTACCCAAAAAATAAAGCTGCGTTTAATGGAAAAAATACCTTATACTGCTGCAGTTTTAAAGTTTACATTTAAGTGAGATAAAATGAAGTAAAACTCCTAGTTCAGTTCTTCATTCACTCTACCCACATCTGCGGTCCTCACCATCCATGGTAATGTGGTGAGTGGCTACCATATTGAACTGCACAGCTTGAGAACTTTTGTATAATCTCACACAATGGTGTGTTGAGCCGGATTACCCAAGTCCCTCTTTATTAGATTCATTTATCAAGAAGGTGGTCCCAAGGCGGACAGTGGGGTGTATTTAGGACTAAAGCTTTACTTTAGGAACATGGGTTTTTGACTATTTCAACTGCTTTAAGAAAGAGTCACATTGAGTAACTTGAGTACTTAAAACGTAGGGAGAAAAATTCAATTACATGCCAACTAATTAACAAACTGTTTTTCTTTTTTTTTTTTTTTTTAATGTATCAAGAACCTATGGCTATTTAAAGAAATAGTATAAAATTTTAACAATCCACTTAATATAACTGTCTGCAATTTTAGGAAGGGGGATCCATGAATTGTAAGTGGTTTAGATGTTCTTAAAGCGATGCTAAGTAGGGAACATTTAACCTTACCTTCATCGTGTTGTAAATCTTGTTCTTTATTATGTTGGAAAGACCATAAATAAGTCTTTAATATGCCTACATTTTATCGTTGACATTTATGATATGTTTTTGTATATTTTGACAGAATACCAAGGTAGAAGGAAAAAGCTCTGTCGTATTTGCAATGGTGATTAATGTTGATGTCTGTATTTATGTATCACAAAATCTTGTGTAAACATACTTCAGTGGGGTCACAAGAATGTTTTATATAAGTGTACCAAGACACCCTACCTAGAGTGCCATTTAGAACAAAATGATAACATGAACTGGACCAGCTGAACATACCTTTTAACAACATTCAAATAGCTCCTATGAGAAAAGAAGTCCTGTGATAAGTTTGAACTCCAGACAATTGTTTCATGTAAGAGATCCATTTTAAGATTCTGAAGTTTTGCTAACAACTCAAAAAGTCAAATGGACTCATAGTTTATGTGTGAGTTCTTAATTAAGGATTTCACTGAAATATTTTATAATAACTGCCTTTGGAGTTACACCGTTATATCCTCTTCTAGATGTAAATTATTCGGCTTTAGTCACATGACACACAAATGCCAAAGTTTATGAATAGGCAAAAAAAGTGTTCAGATAACTGAATGATTTTTTTTTTTCTTCTGTGCTGTAATGATTCAGCATTTAGTCATATCCCCTTTACATCATGCAACCTTTTCCTTGCCTCTGAACACGACAAGTGTCACCTGGCACAGAGAGTTCATTTGTTACAAACACAGACACTGTGCCAGTAGCAAGTGGGGATTACTATTTTCTTCAATATGGAAAGTTTATCTAGGGTTCAAGAAATGGTTGCATCATGACCATGTTGAAAAGGAAGCACAGATAGACTCCTCATGGCACACAGGGGCCTAGTAAAGCAAGCAAATATTTTTTGTCTTATTACCAAAGAAGGAACCGAGATGCTTTCCCCAGTGGCAGAGTGTGGACTGGAGCTCTGATGATCCTTCAACCACCTAGTCCAACTGATTCTACCACCAGAAAACAATTCCCTTCTGCTGGGTCCTTTTCAAGATAAGGATGACAGGATTTTTGAGAACACACTCTAAGAAACATCTGCCAGCTCCAAGCACAGCCCTCTCAAATCAAGCCTGTAGGGCACAGCTAACTTCCTACTGGCAACATCTCCTTCAGTCAGTCCGGGATTGGGAGACCTAAAAAGTTTTCCCATAACCTTTACATAAATGGTGCAGTAAATCATCTACATCAGATAACAAGACTTTTTAAAAGATGCAGGAACAAGGGTGGTAGGGACGGGGGAAGCATGTATCTGATCATTTTGTGGATCTTTTGAGATGAGTTGAGAACAGCAGGCTGGCACCTGTGGCCAGGACAGAAAGATGCAATCCTGTTGATGGAATTGACTGTCACATATGTTTCTGTTATGGAGCATGTGCTCAGAGAAAACAAAGGACCCAGATTTATCTCCCTTAGAGTTACCAGCCTTTGAACCTCCTTGGATGAGCATTCTATATGAAAAACCCAAAGCCTCTGTTTTCTAGGTTGAACATAAATCCAAACTGCAGCAGACATCTCGTAAGAGAAACAGAGGCAAGCTAAGTGAAGAAAGATGTGGCAGTATTTGCTTTAAATGCCACCAAAGTTTACTGAAATATTTTGACTGTGTGAATCCATGGATTTTTCCAGTTGGACTTCCTGGACTTTGCTGGAGAAGGTAAGACATTTTGGGAGGGTTGCTGTTATTGAGACCTGAGACTTAACTCCTTTTAGGTACAAAGCTAGAGCTTTTCATACATAATTTAAATAATCTTCTTAACAATACTTTCAGGTCAATGTGGTTAACAGCCTCAGCAAAGTACATAGAGTGATTTCCAGAAGGTTTCCACTTAGAGCAGGGTGGATCCAGGGTGAAGGCCAGGAGAAGCTGTTTTGAAATCTGTGGATTTTCTTCGATGCTGCCTGCCTGTGTTAGAGGTTCCCAATCCTGGCTTCACTGCAGAATCATCACTTGTAGAGCTTTCAAAGAGCAGTGGCAGAGCTCCATTGGACTCACTCAATCCTGATGTTTCAGATGGGGTCTGAGCATGTATAAACCTTAAAAGTCACATGGATGGTGATTCTTTGCATACTCAGGGTTGAAAATCACTCATCAAGGGATGAATTTAAATGACAGAAAAGCAGATTAGGCTAGAAAGAGTAAATATTAGTTACCTTTTTAAGACCTAGGCTGAAGAGAAATTACAAGAGTATCGACTTTTACACCGTCCGAAGCAAATGCTTCTCAAACATGACAGGGTGCCTGCTGCCCTGATGATTTTGATAAAAGGCAGATTCTGACTCAGCAGGTCTGGAGTGAGGCCTGTTTCTGAATTTCTAACAGTTTCTTAGGTACTTCTGATACTGCTGGTCTGCAAAACACATTTTGAGTAACAAGGACCTGGGGACCAGAATCCAAGTCGAGGTTGCAAGTTTCTGTGGCGTGACCAAGAGATGAGGTTTACATGTTAACATTGTTTCCCAGAGCCCTGACTGTGGTCACTGTCACTGTTAAAGGCAGAGTTTTGGTGACCGTGCCTGTTCATCCCCCGTCATCTGTTCTCCCCTCTGCTCTGCATGGCCTTGCCAGGTTGCCAGCAGTTGTGCTGTGACAGATATGTGGGTGTCAGTAATGTTTAATAGCCATAGTTGAAAACCTGTTTCATTCAAATGAAGCTCAGAGTGTACTTCTTTCTTCCCCCAGGCATTACTGGTCTTTGCTTAGAAAGGAAAGCTGTAGCTGGTCTGTGGCAACTGTCCCTAAGGAAGAGAGTCTCCCTCATCCCTCACTCAGCAGGCTGCCATTTTTTTTTTTTTTTTTTTTTTTTTTTTTTTTTTATGGGTCGCCCCC